GGCCTGCAGTGACAGTCCCAACCCCAAGGCCAGCAAACCACTATGCAGGGCAGGGGCCGTGCGGGGCAGCCCCACAGGCGGAGGCAGGGCCCTTCCCAGTGCCAAAGCGGCCCAGATGCAGGCCCTCTCCAGCCACAGAACAGGGCAGGACCCCAGGAGCTGCTGGCCCCAGACAGGGCCTGGACAGGTGGGCGGGCACCCACGTGGACGGAGAGGGGCCAGTGACTGCTCTCACAGCTTCTGCATCCACCTTTCCTGAGGGAGCAGCCCCCTGCCCACCACCGTGGGACCCTCTGGGAGGAATTCGCATCCCACAGCTTCCAGGCAGCCCACATTGTCACAGGGTGGCCTCTGGCTCAGCTCCACACCCCTGCCCCATGACTGTGGGTAAAGCACTTCCCCTCTCTGGGTCTCAGTTTCCCCATGTGGAGACCAGGAAGCAGCCACAAGGAGTTCTCTGGGCTGGAGCCTCCCCTCTCCCTGGCTCTTTTCACTGAACCCAAATGTCTGTGGTCTCAGTCCCTGTCCCCATCTGTCTGAGAAATGGGCCAGGCAGAGACACACAGTGTCCCTGGCACAAACTCAGCCCCCACTGGCACCACCAACAGTGTGGCCTCGGCGGCCCCCAGAGGTCCAAGTGACACTGTCAGGCCCTACACGTAGTACTTGGTGGGCAGGGCTCACCCCACGTGGCCGGGTCACACTTGCAGCCCGGATCTGAGGCTGGGCCCTTGGTCCTGGAACCCTGGCTATGCTGTGAAGCCCACCAGGCCCACTAGGGGCTCACAGAGAGACCACCTGGCTCAGCCTCCAGGATGCAGGGCAGCCCCCCACCCCCTCCCACTCCCCACCAAGGGCTGTGTCCAAAACCCTGCACCCTCCCCTTGGCCAAGGCCCCCCAGCGCTCTGGGCCATTTCCAGCAGGGGTCACAGCTCACCCCTGGACAGCCCTGGAAGGCCGGGGTCTGCACACCACCGGTAGCCTGGGGTTTCTCCAGCACCACCTGCTGCAGGACAGGTGAAGCTGAGTTTGCGTGCTCATCCTGTGCTTTATGCTCGGCAGAGAATGCGGAAGCACAGGCGTTAGAGGAGGCCGCAGGCCACGGAACCGGGATGCCGGCTGCTTTCCTTCCACCTGTATTCCCGGAACACACGGGGACCTTCTGAGGGGCCTGTGTGCCGGTCAGGGCACAACTCAAGCTTCAGCACACACCTCACAAAGCTAGAGGTGTGAACCAGGTGAAAGTGACTTGCTGTTTGAAAAATGCAAATTAACCAAAAATTACAGACACCAAACCAGGTGGGGTCCGCCTGGAGCTGGTGGCCGGTGTGCTCCCGGGTACTCTGCCACCTCCCTGAGGCCCAGGCTACAGTACCGTGGCCAGCACTGCTGGGGGTCACGGGGCCAGCGCGTAGGAGGGGTGGCACAGCCCACTGGGCTGAGCAGGCCTGGCCTATCTCCTGGGATATACAGGGACCGGCACAACCTGTTCTGTGGCCTGAGGTCAGATAAGGATGTCCCGTGCTATCTGGGAAGATGAGGTCTGCCACGGCCCTGACAGGCCTCTCAGACCTCAGCCTTCTTGGGAGGACCCCAGGCAGAGAACAGCAGCACAGACAGGAAGGTCTGGCCACAGCACTGCCCCAAGGGCAGATGGCATTTTATGTCTTCTGATCAGTACGACCAGGGGTCAGAGCCGTCACAGGAAACAAGAGGGACAGCAAGAGCCACGTTCCCAATCACCCAGCGTCCCCAGTCAGAGCAAGAGCAGGGGAGAGGCCAGCGGGGCTTCCTCAGGTCCCCTGTCCCCACAAACCACTGCCCCTGGCTAGAGATCAGAGAGTCAAGAGGGCTGGCTCGGACCTGCCACGCCGCCCCACCCACCCCGGCACACCTGGTCCAGAACACCCCTTCGCGGGTCCTCAGCCCTGCTACAGGACTCGCGTCTCCATCTGCGGTTAATCATTGACGCTGTCTTCAGGGCTGTAGACACACCCTGAGCCAGACCAACCCCTGGGCCTCCTCAGCTAACAACCACCACCGCCAACATTTAGGGAGTGCCTGCTGTGTTCACAGCACACACAGACACAGACACAGGACAAGCAGGGACTCCTCTTCCCCACAGGAACACGTACAGATGTGCGGGTGAAGGGGTGAAGGGGGCCTGTCCTGGGCACAGAACAGCCAGGACACAGCCCCACCCAGGACACAGAAAGGGGGTGGGGACCTGCCTGGTGCACAGAAGAGGTAGAGACCTGCCCCAGGCATGGGGTGAGGGGAGCCTGCCGGGGCACAGAGGGTGAAAAAGGCCTGTTGGGACGGGTAGGCAGGGTGGCCTGCCTGGGGCAGAAGAGACTGTGAGTGGGGGGCCTGCCGCAGGGGATGGGGCAGGGGCTGGGCGTTGGTCCGGCACACGTGGGGTCTTGCGGGGGCTTGCTCAGACACCCTCAGGACCGGGTAACAGGACATCAGCAGGCAGCTACACCCCCCTGGCAAGTCTACACCTGCGTTTGGCTGTTTACACCACTGCAGTGTCCCGAGGGCATGAGCCAGCCTCGGGGGTTCCAGGGGCTTCCTCTGACTCCTGAGTGTCTCGTCCTCCAGCATCCCAGAGTAGGAAGGGCCCCCAAGACTTGGGTGGGGGCAGAGGGACTGTGGGCAGAGGCGGCAGAGTCGAGGGCAGGCTGCGCCGCTGAGTGGGTCCTGGTGGCCACATCTCCCTCGGTGCCCAGTGTGGGCGGCCTGGCAGGGCAGCACCCGCGCTCTCCAAGGCCGGACGGGCATGTCGATCAGTGCTCCTTACGGTGCCTCCTCGTCCCCATCTGTGGAATGGGGGCATCCACCCTCCTGAGGGGTCATTTGAGGAGTAAACCAGAACACTACCAGGTGGAATGAACGCTCACCTCCTCAGTCACTACTGCTGGTATGATTACGAATGACCTGAACTTTGGGGAAAAACCACGACACTTGAGCAAAAAATGTGGCCAAGAAACGCGCCTGGGACAATGGTGAGGTTGCGACTCGTGCAGAAGCCCTGTACTTTCCCAGGCAAGCTCCAAAGGGCAAAGGAAGGTACATGAACACCCCCCCACACCCGGGGACCGTGGCTATGTGAACACCGCACAGAAGCAGGCTCGTCTCACTGTGACTGGAGGGCCGGCTGGCCTGAGCTGAAGTTCCCAAAACCCACTGACCACTGCCTGCAGGCTGGGAGCCCACGACCCTGCTGAGGTGGACAGCCAGTCCGCGCCACTGCAGGCAAAGCCCGTGGGTCCAGACAGGCTTGGATCAGCACGTGCCGTGACCCAGGCCCAAGACCTGGCTTTCCTGAACATGGTTCCTCTCTTCACTCACTCACTCATTCCTGACAGACACGTCTGAAGCACTTTCCACACACCGACCTCCTCCGAGCACCAGACCCTGTTGAAGACACACAGGACAGTGTCTGCTGTCCTCCAGTTTATAAGTTCTCATGAGAGAGATGAAAATGGAGAGCTAAGACATTCTGAAACAGCTTCGAAGAGTAGGGATGACAGGAAGGAGGGTGGCTCCCATCGACGGGGTGGGGATGGGGGCACCACTTCAGAGGGGGTCGGAGCTGGCATTCTTGCTGGGACACTAAGGCACCAAACATCAACAAAGCAGAGACCAGCAGGCTACTAGGACTGACTCGCTCGGAGCAGCGAGGAGGCTGCAGTGAGGGACCCAGGAGGGGCCAGTGAGGTGGTGACAGCTCAGGAAGGTGGGCATCCTCATGGGTCTCACAGCTGCAGTGCAGGAGCCGGGCGAAGGGCCTGGCTTGCACCAGGCTTGTGGTAAGTGGTCAGGAAACGTGCAGTCCATGTCATTATCCCCTGGGGCCATCCTGTCCCAGCACAGAGCAAAGGCGTGTGCCAGCCCTGGAGCCATCCCACGTGCACAGCAGAGGATGGCCAGGCTGTGTGGCAAGCCCAGCCACCACTCCCATGTCCTGGGCCCATGGCAGCCCCAGCTCTGTCCATGCACTCCAGACCCACAGCGGTGCGCCTGTTCTGAGGCTGCCCGCCCTAACCCGAGGCTCTCCCAGCAGCGCCCAGAGCTTGGACTTGCTTCAAGGACCTGCAGTGGGCATCTCCCCTCTCCCCAAAGCTCAGTTTCTCAGACTGGGGGATCCCAGGCCATGGGCTCCCAAGACTCAAGAAAAGTGAGAGGGGCCGGAAATGGAGTGATCCTTGGGAATCAAGGTCCAGCAGATGAGGGTCCCCCAAAGTAAGTGCTGCAGAGCCACACCTCGATGGGGGTCTCTACCCTGTGGAGGGCGCCTGGCTGGCACTCCTGGCCATACCAGGCCGGGGAGACAGTGCCTGCCCCAACTCTCTGACAGCATTTCATTTCCTTCTCTGTTCAGCTGGCTTCAGGCAAGAGGGGCGATATTTGCTCAGCAAATATTGTCTATCAGGCAGACAAGCAATATTTTTTGCCAACCTATTAAGCGTGCAGCAGGCAGCGGTCACCCAGAGGGGTCTCGGGATTAACCTTCCTTCTCCCCGTCTGAGCACAGCCCTCGAGCAGACGGGGAAAGGGCTGGTCCGCAGAGTATCCATCTTATCGCCACCTCCCTGAGATCCAGCAGTGCCCAGCTCCCTAGCACGTCCTGAACCAAACAGAGCGATATTTTGGCAACAGAAACACAACTGATAAGAGGCCGGCGGTGCTTCCAGACAGCCCCGATTTCCAAGCGTGGATTTCTTTTGGCCCCTGCAGCTCAAATCGTCCCTAAACCCACCCGACACCGCTGGGCCTTCCGGACACGACGGTCTGGGCGCGCGGGGGGCACCCAGGGTCCCTAGGACAGGGCCCGAGTGGCCGGGGCTTCCCTCGGGGGGGCCCACGCGCGGGCGGCCCCTCCAGGAAGCCATGGGCGGTCGCAAGTCCAGGAGTCCCGGGGACCGCCCCCCCCGCGGGTCACCCCGGGCCGCGTCCTCGCCCGACGCTGGCGAAGCCGTGCCCGCCCACCTACCTCCAGGGCCTCCAGGGTGCTGAAGCTGGCGATGGCGAAGCCGTCGATGACCTCCTCCTCCTGCGAGCTGGACTCGCGGCGGCGGCGACGCGGGGGACGCGCGGCGCGGGGCGCGGGGGCGGCGCCTCGGGGGGGCGCGCCGCGGAGGCCCGCGTTCTCCTTGCCGGGGCTGGGCTCGGGCTCGTCGCCCGACGACGGGCTCTGGGCGCGGGCGTCGCGGGAGGCCTCCCGGCGCCGGCCACGGTCCCGCTGCGCGCGCGAGCGCCGACTCGGGCGGACCTTGGCCTCCATGGCGGTGCGTGCGCCCCGTCGGGCCGGTGACCTTGACGCCCCGCGCCTGGCTCGCGGCGGCCGGGCTCCCTCGGCTACGCGGCGCCGCCGGCCTGAGTGTGCGCCGCGCGGGCTCGGGCCCTGGGCGGCGGCGGGCGGCGGGCCGGGCCGGGCATGCCTGGCGAAGGGGGCGGCTCAGCCCCGGGCCCGGCGCGGCCTGGGACCCCCGGCGCGGGCGGCAGGGAGCATCGGCGGAGGCGGGCCCGGCGCTCAGCGGCCCTCGGCCGCCCCCCCGGGGGCGCGCCCCATGCGCGCAGCGCTGCGATCGGGCCGGGCGAGCAGGGCGGGCGGCGGGCGGCGGGCGGCGGGCGGACGGGCTCCTGGGCACCGGGCTCGTGAGGCGGCGGCGGCGGCGCCCCGAACAGATAACAACTGACGCACTTCCGCCCGGCTGCGCTCGCCAGAGGAAGTGAGCTCCGCCGCGGCGCCCGCGCGCCCCGCCCCGGCCCCGCCCCGGCCCCGCCCCTCTCGTGTAGGCCCCGCCCCCACACCGCCCCGCTCATGTGGGCCCCGCCCCCGCCGGCCGTCTTCGCGCCTTCAGGCCCCGCCCCGCCCGCAGGTGCCCGCCCTCGGCCCCGCCCCTCGGCCGCGCCCCGCCCCGGCGCCCCCCACCCCCCGATCCCCGCTGCAGCCCGCGGCGGTCGGCGCGGCCCCTCCTGCCCGTTCGCGGGCACCTGCGGGCGGCGCTCTCCTCTGCGGGGCGGGGGTCCCCGGCCAAAGGCGGCTTCCGAGGAGGACGAGGGGGCTCCGGTCCTGCGGAGCCGAAGGGGCGCGGTGGGACCCGAGAACCCTGGGCCAGGCGGTGCCCGCGTCCCCTCCCTGCGCCACGTGCCCCCAGGTCCCACGAGAGGGCGGCTCCAGCCACTGAGACCCCGGGCACGCTCCCGGCGGGGCGGGGCTGCTGCTGGCGCGGAGCGCGGCCGGAAGCGGACGGGGGCGCTGCGGTGCGAGCGGGGCGCGGGCGGGCTCCCTCCTTTTCCCCAGAGGGGGCCGCGCTCCGGGGACCGCCCGGCGGGGCTTCCCGCGTGGGCACTGAGGTCACCGGTCTGTGCAGCGTCCGGGCGGGGGCTGAGGCCGGAGACCCCCTGAGGAGCGGGGGAGACCCCGGACACAGGGCCCGGTAGAGTCACCGCGGAGAGAACACTGAATGGGGGTATCGGAGAGCGGGCACTGCGTGGTCCGGAGAGCGGGCACTGCGTGGTCCGGAGGGCCTCCCCGAGGCGTGGCGACGCCGGGCCCCACGCAGTCACGGGACCCTGCTTCAGGCTGGGGCCCCGCGGGGGGAGTCGTGCTTCGCTGGAGGGCGGAGGGGAGGGCGCGGGAGGCAGCAGTGGGACCCTGCCCTGGGCTGCGCTCAGTGGGTCTGCGGGGTCCACATCACCCTGCTTCTGGGAGAGCCCACTGCGGCCTGCAGCGCAGGACAGGAAGGGTGCGGTCGGGCACCGGGGGCTGTTGGCTGGGCCCGTTGGGAAAGTGGCTCACTGGGGTGCGGGGACTTCCTGTTAGCTCAGCTTCCTCCCGCGCACGCTGGATCCCCGTTGGAGCCTTCCCCGTGGGGGCGGGGAGGGGACAGGAACCCCTCCCCCTCTTCCCATTCCGGGTTCGCTTAGCCAAGCTTTCACTAGTTAAGCCGCACTTTCACCCTGTAGCATCCTCCCTTTGGATTTTTAAAAACCTCGTTAGGAGCGGGAGCCCCAATGCACCTGCTCCCGAATTCCCCTCCAAGGACTGAAGGCCAGGAAGTGCGGACGAGGGTCACAGGGCTGGCATTTCAGGCCCCTTCTTGAGCAACCTGGGAGTCCTCACCTGCTCCCGACGCCCCCAGAGGCCGGCCCACCCCAGGCTGGGCCGAGAGGTCAGTCAGACTGCAGGAGACATCCTGTGGGCACCCCCCACCCCTCCAAGAACACTTGTTTCGGAAGGTCTTGAGTTTCTGGTTTTGAAATTTTTTTTTCTTTTTCTTTTCTTTCTCTTGTTCTTTCCTTTTTTTTTGAGACAGGGTCTCACTCTGTTGCCTAGACTGGAGTTCAATGGCATGATCTTGGCTCATTGCAACCTCTGCCTTCCGGGTTCAAGCGATTTTCGTGCCTCAGCCTCCCGAGTACCTGGGACTACAGGCCCGCCCCACCACACCTGGCTAATTTTTTTGTATTTTTAGTAGAGTCTGGGTTTCACCACATTGGCCAGGCTGCTCCCAAACTCCTGACCCCAAGGGATCCACCCGCCTCAGCCTCCCAAAGTGCTGGGGTGACCGGTGTGAGCCGCTGTGCCCAACCTGAAGTTTCTGTAACTAGGAATACACTTTCTCCTTCTGGTCTCAGAAGACGCTCAGATGGGTGACCCCAGTGAAGGGTGGGAGCTCTGCAGACCCCTCAGGGGCTGCTTATTTTGGGGCTCCCACCTGGTTTCCCTGGCTGTCCTGGAGGACGCGTCCCCTGGTGCCTTCTCTCCTTTGATCCATTTCCACGTGTCCAGGTGGCCGACCAGGGACCAGCCGGCATCTCTGGAGTTCTGGGCTCAGGAGGGCTTGCTTTGGGAACCTTCTCTGCCAGGAGAAGCAGCTGGGCTGATGTGCTGGATGGGAAGCCCTTGGAAGGGAGGCCAGCGGGGGCAGGGTTCCTCATAGACCCGGCTGTGTGTCTCCAGGAGCACGGATCGTAGTGACCACACGCCCCACCCAGGGCTCTGAACCTCCCCGGGGCTTGCCGGGGCCCTGCCGGAGCCTGCGCCACAAACCCCGGCACTCAGGCTGACTTCTCTGTGCAGAGCAGGGCAGACCTCCTGGCTTGTTTGGTGATTCCATTCGTGTGCTCACTCCGCTGCCCTCCCCTGCCCCAGGGAGGGTGGGGTGCTTGGAAGGTGGAGACGTCGGGGGCCAGCAGCCCGCAGAGCGCAGAAGTGGCGGGAACGGCCGGGCCGTGGACAGTGGCCGCCAGCCACAGGAGGCTCTAGCTTTGCCGTGTGGCCAGTCAGCTGCAGAACTGGATTGTGTGTTTGATGTACAGACTTTGATCTAGAATGTAATAGCCCCATGGGGTGGGTGGCTTCCACAGTGGACAGGGAGGTTCTAAAGCTGGCCCACCGGGCCCCGGCCTGAGCACTGCCACCCACTCAGTACCTCGGGGAAATGATTTACCGTCTGCGTGCTTCAGTCGTCCATCTATAAAGCGGGAGTGGACTGGGACAAGGCGACCCGCCCCAGGGTGTCTAAAGGCCCCTGAGCCAGCGCGAGTGAGTCAGTGGAGGCCTGGGACCCCAGGCAGGAGGGATGTGTGAACACATGAAGCCGAGTCCACCCCAGGGTTCCCCACCCCTCACGTCTGAGGTTCTCTGAGGCTGTCGGTCTGGGACTGCACTTGGGGAGCCATGGATGGTTTAAGCATGGGTTTAAGTGCACCATAGTGCCATAGGTGAGTGCCAGGGAGGCCCCCGCCACACCATCACCCATCAAGGCCTCCAGCCTCCTCCTCACCCTCCCTTCCCCAGCTCTTGCCAGCAAAGCCCCTTCTCTCTGCCTCTGCTGGAGGCCCACAGCCCCATCCCGGCCCTCGGGGCACCCCAGGTCCCTTTCCTGCTCACGTCATACCCCTTGGCACTCATCCTTCCAGTCACCAGAAAGAAGGGGGTTCATCCTCCACACACAGGGACCGGCAGGCAGGGAGTCTGCAGAGCAGAGCCTTGCGTCCCACCGCGGCCGCCAGGAAGCACAGACTCACTCAGGCACGGCCCTGGCCCCCAGCCTGGGCCCTCGCCCAGCCACGGCCACAGCCCCCAGCCCAGGCTATGCCACGGCCATGGCCCCCAGCCCAGACCCTCACCCCGGCCCAGGCCTCACACAGCCACAGCCACAGCCCCCAGCCCAGGCTCTGCCACGGCCACGGCCTCCAGCCCGGACCCTCACGCCAGCCCAGGCCTCACCCAACCACGGCTCTGCCATGGCCATGGCCCCCAGCCCAGACCCTCACCCAGTCCAGGCCCCACCCGGCCACAGCCCCCAGCCCAGGCTTGGCCATGGCCACATCCCCCAGCCTGGACCCTCACTGCAGCCCAGGCCTCACCCAGCCATGGCCACGGCCCCCAGCCCAGACCTTCACCCCAGCCTAGGCCTCACCCAGCCACAGCCACAGCCCCCAGCCAGGACCCACACCCCAGCCCAGGCCCTCGCCCATCCATGGCCCCTGCTTCCTGGCACAGCATCCTCTGGCCGAGCCCCAGGTGGTGCTGTGAGTATTGGTGGGCTCTGGGATGACGCATCAGCTCCTCCGCCCTAGCCACTGGTCTTTGCTTTAGAGAGTACTTCACTGTGCTTTGTAAGGCTTTGTGCAAAGTTAATTGACATGAACTTGTATTCAAAATTCAGTTTGCTCCAAGAGATCCAAATTAGGCCCTATAAATCAGCTAAGCCATTTTTTCTTTGGGGTTCAAACTTGCTTGTGGGGTGACGGCCAGAAAGTAGGTTCCATTGCTCACAGCCCCCAGCTCCAGCGCCCCATCTATGAGCCAGCTGTCGCCTCCAGCCCTCGGCATCTGCCCTCGTCCTTCCCATAATGGCACCTCAGTGTATTTTGGATACGTAGCCGGCTCTCGTGGGTGCCGCCTGGTGAGACAGCAGGTCCCAAGGCCCCACGTTTCCCTAGAAAAGGAACGAAGGAACGTCAGTCAGCTCCTGCTTCGAGAACGCTGTGTAACAAACAGCCCTGGCCCTCCATGACACTGCCTTGGTCAGAGGGCTGCAGGGTGACAGGAGGGCCTTTGCTTCTTCCTTCCGACTTTTGTCCGGCCCAGCTGTCATCCACAGGTCTCTCTCTCTGTGGGACGCAGGTGTTCCTTCTCCCTCCATGGCTCGGGAGGCCAAACAGAACAAGGAGACTGGCAGAAGCCCCTGCTTCAAGGCTCACTTGTGTCTGCCAGGATGTCTTGAGGCTGGGACCGGCCTCCATTGGCAGAGGAGCCCCTCCCGCTTTGGTGGGGCTTGGTGGCCCAGTTTGTCACACAGGTGACCCGGGTGACACCAGATCAGGTGGACTCTTTCTAGAATTGCAGTTAGAATGTGCCTTGAACCAAGAGTCACGGCAATTGAGAATCTGGGGTCCCCAGTGTGGCCCCTTCCAGTCCCCCCGCTCCTGAAGATGTGCCATCGCCTGGTTCTGAGCCTGCTGCCACCCCGCGGGCCGCCCCTCCCTGTTCACCCAGCACAGAGTCTCCCTGAGGAAGTCGGTTCCACAGGACGTGGGGTCACCACCATCTCCGTGAGTTCCCGCGAGTCTGGCTGTCCCCATCAGCATA